ATCTGGAGATGGGTTCCCGGGGGCGCTGTTACTACGGCGACCACTGCTCCTGACGTAAGCCTTATTGGCATCAGGATGGGTCAAATGCAGAGGACAAATTTCCCAAGGGGGACAATAAAGTGCCCCTTTACATTTACACATCTCTCAAAGCTCCTCTTTTCTCATTTGCTATAACATTGACGCAATTATAATTTTACAGCCCACACGAGGCAAAAAAAAAACTTGTAGAGCTAAATCTGTCCCGCTCTCTCCACACACTTCATGCTCACCGTATAAGTACATGCACATTGATTTCATGAATGATTATACGTCACAAAAACACAAGGCAGAAATGTGTGACTTTGATTCACCCAATGTGGACTCTTTAAAGACAAGAACTTTATAAGAAAATTCACATATAGCATTTACGTATTTAGGTGACGTCTACTTTTCTGTATATTATTTTCATATTCACAAAAAGAGCTGATATTGCTCTTCCGTTACTTGCTATATTGCTACTTTGCATTATATTATTTACTCATTCGGCATGTGGCAAAAAAGTAGGATTGATGATATGACGTATAATTTATGGTGGGATGGGCCACTGCCGCTAATCCAAATTCATCAGTTTGGGTTTTGAGCCCAATGCAGTCTGACAGGCCATCTGACTGCAGCTGACTCACACTGCACAGACGTATGAAAATAAGCCTATGGTGCCGTAATGAGCGGGACCGTTTCCAAAAATGAAAATCACATCGTCACAGTAACACCACACAAGCATCTCAATTTGGGTCACTGTAGATTTATTCAAGAGCTAGAAAGTTGTTCATAGCGTATATCAACAAACTTAACGAGAATGGTGACACACAGGCCCCCCTGCTGTGACCGTCTTTGAGTTTTGAAGGGATTTGAGAAAGACAAACCTTCCAAATTTGAAATCACTCAGAGCTGCTGTTGGGTGTTAAAGAGGCTTATTTTGATCCCTACTGTACCTTCTTTTTGGAAGTATACGGCATGTCCCAGAGCAACACTTGTTTCATCTGCGCCGGGAGACACTGTCATATCACACAAGATACAATAAGCAGACATCTTTTGCATTTACAAAAGGTCGTCAGGAGATTTCTGCTCCAAAATCAACAACTTAGAGCATATAAGGCAAGATCATCTTTAAGTTAAGTTGGCCGTCATGGTGGCTGAGTGGATAGAAGTCCAGTTTTCTAATCTTATCTTAAGCACTTCTGAGTTCAAATCCCAGTCGGAACAGGGAGTTTGTATGTTCTCCCCGTGTCAGCGTAGGTTTCCTCCGGGTGCTCTCACTAAAAACATGTATAATAGGTCTGGCATGCACCTCCTGTACTGGCGACCTCACTGCCTTCTCTGTGTGGAGTGAGAGACAAATGCCCACAACAATTGGAAAGCGCTTTGTGACTCTGGTCTGTGAAAGGCACTATAGATGAAGATAACTTACTTTCTCACTACTTATTATCAATAACATAAAGTCAAAAATGTTTACAATAAGTTTTATATGGAATGTTACATGTTATTTTGTATGGAATTATGTCTCATGAATGTGTTGATAATGCCATGGCCAGGACACTTTTGAAAAATATATCCTCAAATTCAATGGAGTTTTCCTGGATAACCAAATAGTTGAAAAACAAATTAGCAACTTGACTAATTGTAATACTTTTAAATAGTAACTCAATGAAACAAGAATTAAGCACAGTTCCTTCAATAACAAACCGTCTCATGCTTTGTCTTATTTTCCAGGTTAATCCTGGTGGTACTGATGGTATTCATTTCATTTTATCAAGTTAACTCTATTATTGTATAGGCAATAAATCTCAGTGCTGCTACACAGACAAGGCTGCATACACATGGCTCTCTTGCGACATACTGTAGCTCAAAAATAAATAGTGCAGCCGAGGGCAACCGACGTAAACATGGATAGAAATATCAAATTTAATTTACTTGGCCTACAGAATCTGAGGTTCATGTACATAAATAAATACTGAAATAATTGGCTTGGTGTCAGGATGTTTTAGCATCAATATTCCGTGCATGTGGAAAAGACTGACAGCGAATGGTGCGTAGGAGTGAAGGCTCGTACTCAAGAACAAGTCCAAATGTTTTCCCCGACAACATCAAACTAAATTAAACTGATTAAACTAAAATAATTAGATGTAGAAAGATCTCTGAACTTCTGCTCACTCTTTTTGTTTTCCTCGTACAAATACATTAATACAATACATTCTTATCTCTGAAAATCATTTCTACTTGCAATCAATATGCATGTTTTATTATCATTTTTATATATTTTTTATGATGTATTTTATTTTATAAGAAAATATTGACACCACCTTTAGACACCTTTTAGAAAGAAAACATAGACCATAGTTCATATGTACTGACAAAGAAGATATCAAAATTTGGCCCAGGAATTACACCTAAATTAATTCTTGAATTATATTAGAACTGACTTTTGACCCTGAAAAGTAAAGATCATTCAGCTGCCTTAATCCTCGTCACATGAACACAATTTACAAATCACATGGGACTAACAAAGATCTTTTCTTGATATATTTACCTTAACATGTTTCTTGCACAATTTGCGACAAATAAAGATGGTGTTGTGACAAAGCTGGAGCAAAAACGAAAGAAAGCGTAAAATGCAGTGCACATCCTGAGGAGGGTCCAGGGGGGTTTCTGGGAACAGTGAAGGTTATTGGACACATGGGACATCATTTATACTTGGTATGTGTCACACTTTGTCATCGTCAGTATTTGGCCTGGTCTTGACAGTTTGACACTGCAGCACATGCTCTAGTTGTCATGGAAACTAATCAAGCTCTTTATGATGCAAAACAAAAGCAAATGAACTAAAAAAAGATTGTGAATATAATGAGGCTGGAACAACTAACAGCTAAATTAAATTAAAATGTGTTTACTAAGTATTTTAATCAAACAACTCAATCTCTATGAAGATGTTCTCCAGGGGCATCACTCGAGCTTTGTTTTGGTCAAATGTATAAAATATCTCTTACTTAATGACATTCTGCATCCAAACAACTAATCGATTACTGATTACTAATGGATTATCAAACTAATCATTAACAATTACAGCCCTAAAACATACAAACTATGACAATGTTCAAGTGTGAAAGTTGAATTGGAACCAGGCAGCAGACTGATGCGGTGTCTCCGTTGATGGGTAACGCTGGTAACCAGGAGAACAGAAAGGAGCAATTAAAGATGTGATACACACGATAATGGAAGGGGAACAATGGAGTCACGAATGCAGGATTTCCCGCTTTCATGCGATTGCAAAACCGCATGTAAACTGCAAGAAACATTTCTATAATATTTTTTTCTCCAGCATTTGCAAATAATAGATATACTCTAAATAATAATCTTTTGTGTTGCTTTAAAACATTTCATCTTATTTTGGAAACTTGCATCTTAGGTAATCCTTCAGCCCTTAATTCCAGATTCAATTAAACATGACATTACAACATTTATCCGCTCACAGAAAATCATGGATGGATGCATTTGAGTCATGTGTGCGCTGGTTTCTTGGAACAACATTTTGGATCGTCTCGGCAGGAGCAAAGCTGTGCCTGTCGTCAATACCTACAGAGAACAGAATCTGCTGTCTGTAGGTATTAATGCTCCTCTCAGCGTGCGGGACGCAAGACAACGGCACACATTTGCACCATCTTTAGTGCTTAGATACAGTCCCCCTGGAGACATGGCGTGGACTTAGAAGATACTGTATTATCAGTCGGACTTTGTGGGGACAGAGAAATGGGCTGAGGTGTTCATGTTGGTTCTGCTCTGTTGGCTAACCTAACAAGCGGAGAGAGGTAAAGCAGTGTCCCGAGGGAAATTTGACAGGATCACAAGTCTGGCTTTCAAGTGAAGAAGAAGCCGAGCGTTGCCTGCTACAAAATGTTCCAGGCAATTCATTGTGTGTAATGGAGTATATGGGGGGCAGACTTAGGTTTTTATTTTCATTAGTACCAAAAACAGTACGATTAAATACACAATTACAACTATCCGAAACAGACCTCAAACCAAGAGGTGCAGTTCCATTCCCAAGAAATTCTTGCATCCAGATGGATCACCACCAAAATCTAATTGCTTGTACATTCTGCCAAAAGGAGGATTCCAGAGTATCTCCTCCAAATCTTCCCATAACTTTGAGTTATCATGCAAACTCATTAACGGACAAACTCTGATTGCCTCACCTCTTCCCCAACGAGAAGGGAGCAGGGATGAAGGTAACTAGACTGTTAATTGTTCTCCACATTTTTATAAAAAGTTCACAGAGACAAATTAGCATTCAGAAAGGTGTAAACTTGAATTGGTCTTATGCTGCTTCATGCTTTTAGGAGGGATTCAAAATAATGCAAATCTCTAACTTATCTAAAACCATTTCAGATTTTTCACACTGGTTTGAGAGTTTGGTGTTCAAAGTCCCGTCATGAGACAGTGAGTGAATTACATGGTTTGTTCATGTATATGTACATTTATACATACGTAGTTCATAAACTCTTAGAGCGTCATGCATATTGGCTAAATCATGTTCACTTACAGCAGAAATCATTTTGAAGAGTGTCAAAAGAAACATATTACCATCAACACCTTTCTGCAAAGCCTTTCCGTTTTACCACTCAACAAACAGCTCCAGCTTTTGGTTTTGTGTTACTCAAATAGTGTTTTCCACGCTCGACTTGCTGTGCATGCACCGACACCGCTCCGCACACAGTTGGCCGTGTGTGCTCATTTGCATGCATCCCCATCATTGGTTGCCTGGATATTCCACTTCAACAGGCTGCCTTCTGCTGATTGGTAGAAACTGCCAGGGGGACATAATCTCTCACCAAAACTGAATAAAAAGGCAGTGGGGACGAGAAACGGCTTGAAACATGACTGAGGAAAGAGTGCAAGAAGGAAATATTTAAAGCTGCTGAAAGAATTTGTCAGGCTCTGAGCAGAATTTTTCCCAACTTTTCACTATAATGTCTTTAGAGGTGAAGGAGAAGACCCATGTCCGCATGGTGTTTTTGGGAGCAGCTGGAGTGGGCAAAACAGCTTTGATCCGCCGTTTTCTCCAAGACACCTTTGAACCCAAGCATCGTCGCACGGTGGAGGAGCTGCACAGCAAGGAGTATGACATAGGTGGGATGAAAATCACAGTTGAGATCCTGGACACCAGTGGCAGCTACTCCTTCCCTGCAATGCGAAAACTGTCTATTCAAAACAGCGATGCATTTGCTCTGGTGTACGCCGTAGATGACCCAGAGTCCTTAGAGACGGTCAAAAGTCTCAGAGATGAAATCTTGGAGATTAAGGAAGACAAGTATACTCCCATAGTGGTGGTCGGCAACAAAGTAGACAGAGAAGACGAGCGCCAAGTGTCTGGGGATGATGTTTTGTCCACTGTGGAGTTGGACTGGAACAGCAGCTACTTAGAGGCATCTGCAAAGGAGAACGCTAACGTGGTGGAAGTGTTCAAAGAGCTCATGCAGCAAGCCAACCTGCCCTGCCGCCTCAGCCCAGCGCTACGCAGACGCAGAGAGACTTTTCCCAAAGACACAGACTTCAGGCCGCCCATGAACAAAACCAACAGCTGTATTCTGTCATAACACAAGCATGTGACAGGGGCCATTCAAGTCTGCTGGACAGAGAAAGAAAAATGGAAAAAAGAAAATCTGATGTAATGTTGATAAGGACTCTTAACCAAGAAAGGACTTGAACTTTTCAATTTTAAATTATTGCGGCTTTGTTGAAGATCAACACTGTAGACTGTTCAGCTGTCATTACATCAACTGCTATTGCTAATAAATGTAAAGAAAACCGATTCAAACAAAAACATGTTTACATTTTTGTACACATTTGTGAAGCATGGTATTTCCATGTAGTTTTGAAAAAAGTGAAGGAACTGCGTATTTCAGTTGTGAAAGCACATTTAATTTTCAAATCATGACGTCAAAGTAACATTGTCTCCATGTTTTATTTTATAAACACATTTTTTATCAATACAAATTGTGTATCAGTATAACTGTTTGTCATGTGAATTGTGAATGTTCAATAAAAGACAAATTAACAGTTGTTTTGTATTCTAATTATATTTGAAGAAGATAATCCATATCGCTGTGGTTGAGGGGTGTCAGGGGTGTCACTATGATGACAGTGATAGAAAAGTGTTCGGTGCTTTAGACAGGCTTTAGCCAGAAGATTGTTTTATATTTCTTAAGTATAAAAATACACATTAAGAAACACAATGTCTCTAGATGAATTAAACAGAGGGACATAACTCAATCTTGTTGGAGGCCACACTGCCCCCTCCTGGCCTATAGAACATTCTACAGTTTACACTAAACCATGACTAATACTTTGCATGTGTAGCAAAGTAAATTTTAGTGACCTCTCTCAAAACTTTACAGTGTATTTTTTAAATTTGTTTATGTAAGTGTTATGTGAATTATACAGTTATTATTGTATTTTTATTACAAGTTTTATTATTTTTATAATTGTTTTTTGTCCTGGTCTTTGATTCGTTGTGCAGCTTTGGTCCTCCAGCCACTCCCGTGTTTATATTTCTTCTTCGTGTGTCCCCCGTTCCCCCACTATAAATTCGGGGTTTTCCCGCTCAGTGTTGCCAACTTAGCGACTTTGTCGCTAGATTTAGCGACTTTTCAGACCCCTATAGCGACTTTTTTTCAAAAAAGCGACTAGCGACAAATCTAGCGACTTTTTCTGGTGTTATTGGCGACTTATCTGGTGTTTTGGCGACTTATCTGGTGTTTTGGAGACTCGTGAAGCACGTATTGTTCTGCTGTCCTCAACGTGAGCCCCTCCCCCGTCCCAAAGCACTTACAGGCGGCCAGTCTCACAGTAGCCTTGCGCAGCAGTCCCAGCTACAGTCTATGGGCGGAGCAGAGAGAGAGAGAGGAGACTCAAAAGCACAGGAAGTTTTCAGGCTGCTGCAGACTGAACTTCAGCTCCACCACCACCACACATCCAAAGCTCCCCGGCCACTCCTACCACCGCCACCCCCCACTACCCCCCACTCCATCCGCGGCAGCTCTGTCCGTGACTCTGTTTTCTCTCAGTAGTGGGTCACATTAAATCATTTGTTATGCCAAACTATGAAAAAAAAAAAAAAACTTACAAAAATAAACCTAAGTAACTCTGCCAGCGTGTGTCTTTTGGGTCACTTTGCCGGTCCCAAGCCCGGATAAAGGAGGAGGGTTGGTTGTAGAGCTAGCAATTTCACCCTACATAACAATCTTTTGATTACATTTGCTGTTATAACATTTAACAATACAGGACAAAACTGATGTGTGTAATGTGGATCTAGACAAAGCATTAAAATCATTAAATGTTGTTAATGTTGAAATTATTTTTGTACATTTGTAGTTCTAAACATATTTAGGGTGTTTTTACTCACTTTTGTCTCTCCCACGACCTTATTCCTCTCTCCTACAGCGTCCGTTACAGTTATTTGCAAATGGCAAATTATGCAAAGACGTCATTTAGCGACTTCTAGCGACTTTTGGGACAGCCAATAGCTACTTTCCTTACTGAGGAGTTGGCAACACTGTTCCCGCTGCCTCTTCCCTTTGAAAACCCGTGTCAGGGAAGAGGTCAGTCACTTTATGTTTTTTATGTCTCAAAATGTCCATTTTAATTGTAATTTTGTTGTCATTTACGTTTTGTATGTCTTTTTAGTTTGGGCTGTGAGTGATGCAGAGGCACATGTTCATTGTTTTTGTTTTTTATTGACCAGATAAAAGAACGCCTCGTAAGCTTGTCTCTCGTGTGTTCCTCCGCACCACACAATCAAGTAAACACAACGCAGAGCGGAGAAAATCAGACCCGTTACACTGGTGCCGTGACCCGGATCGCTTGATCAGCCACTGCCGATCGCTGAGGTGCTGCCGTGTGCTTGTCGCCCGGAGTTCGTGTCTAACTCGCCTTCAAGTGGATCCAACAAGTCATCCGTCAGCGCTAGAGACTGGTGTGTGCGCTGCCCTCGCTGACGGCCATCTAAAGAAACCCGAAGCAAGAGTACGCTGCCCGCGCGAACCGCCATCTTGGAAAAACCAAAGCAAGAGTGCGCTGCCCGCGGGAACCGCCATCTTGGAAAAACCGAAGCTTGAGTGTGCTTTGCATATAAGCAGTGGTATTTAATTACAGTCATAAAAGAAAGAGTTGTGTTTTGCACATCTTATGCACATCTTTTGCACATCTTATGAAAGGTTTTGGCTAAATTAATATTTTGAATATGGCACAAAAACGTGATGAAGTTTTTGATTTGTTTACACCTGTTGGGAGGGGTAGAGGGCTATTGACATTTGTGAATGAAACCCCTGGGTCCATCCCTCAAAGACTTTTCGAGTCAAACACTGTTGGTCATAGGCCTATGCCACAGTACTCTACACCCACTGTTGCCAGTGAAAACACAACAGATCAGTTACGTGAACTTATTGGTGAATTGTCCAGTCAGATAGGGGAGTCTATAGCTGGTCGTATACTATCAAGCCAGCAGCACCTTAGCTCACAGCCCCCATGTGCTAATTCACCCAGAGCTGACACACTTAATATGACCACTGACCTGTCCAAAGTCAGTTTAATTGTCAGACCGGACATTAAAGAGCCACCCATGTATCGTGGTGATGGTGCAGACAAGTATTCGATTCATGAGTGGATTGAAACAGTTGAAGTGTATTTGCGCAAGAAAGACCTCTCACCCAGTGAACAAGCAAATGAGGTGCTAAACCATCTCCTTGGCAGGGCAAGGAGTATTGTCAGAGTGGGGCTTAAGAGTAGCTCAAGTAGCATCCAGATCAGTCCAGAGACAATATACAGCATTCTGAGGCGCTATTTTAGTGAGACCCCTGGTTCATGTCTGCCATTAGCTGATTTCTACGCTACACAGCCATTAGTCAAAGAAACACCCGTAGACTTTTGGGTCCGGTTAAACACAGCCGCGGAGGTAGCGGACAGGCATTTAAAGCGCCAAGGTGGTAAAATGGACAATATGGACTCAGAAATAGCCATGATGTTTATCCGAAACTGCCCTGACACCAACCTTGCCTGTGTTTTCAAGTGAAACCGATCAGTAAGTGGTCACTCACTGAGGTGCAGGAAGCTATTGATGAGCACCAGAGAGAGCACCAAACTAAGAGGTTAGCTGCACCTCTAGCCAAACCGCAGGCTCTCCGTGTAGCCACTGCTGTAGCAGACATCGATCCCTCAGAGTGTAACACAGAGTATGCCAATGTAAACATCACTAAGGTCACTAGTCCACCCAAGTCGGATGAACAATCTGTCCCAGGATCAGATGCATTGGAGAGAGTGCTAAGAATGTTAGAGAAAGTGTTGGAGCGTAGCAGTCATCCTGTGCCCTCAGCACCACCCTCACCATTTGGGCACCAGTCTCCATGCCGTGTCTGTAAACAGACCTCTCATTCGACACGCACGCATTGTATGAGAGAGAGAAGGTGTTTGGGCTGTCTAGAGGTTGGGCACCACAAAAAAGACTGCACTAAGCCCCCCACAGTCCAGGGCGGCACCCCAGCTCCACTGTTTCAGGGAAACTAATGCACTCACATGCGGGAGGGGACAATGTGAGTGATCGAATGGAAACCCTCGAACATGATAATGATGCCCAGTCTGTTTACTTTGAGTGTGTTAAAGCCTCCCCCTCGGACACTGTTCTCTTCCAGAATATAACGAGGCTCGACAAAGCCGACAGTTTATTTTATGTCGATGCACAGATGGAGGACATTATCTCACTTAAAGCTCTACTGGATACTGGCTCCATGGCTTGTACGATCAGTGAGGAGGCAGAGCAAATGTTAAAGAGTGCTGGGGCTGTGATTACACCCAATGACACCTGCCCTGATGTAGTGCTGGTAGGTTGTGGTGGAGTTAAGGTAAAGCCGAAGTGTGTTTATGATTTAAAAGTGCGAGTGTATGATTGTACATTTAGAGTCCCAGCGTTAGTGGTTCCAGGACAGAGAGTGTAGCGACCCAAACCTATGTCGCTTCTGGAGAGAAGAGTGCGGGTCCAGTATAATGGATGACGCGCTGCCGATTGTAAAGAACACGCTGGAGGCACGTAATGCGTTTTGTGGATTTAATTGTATCTGCGGTTTATGACTGTTACAGTGAATATGAGTAAAACAGAAAACAAAAGAATATGGACCAAAAGTGTGCGGTCAACGAAAAATACAGCTACCCGGCTTCTCCCCTCTCCCTGTCACTGAGCAGGAAGCGAGTGCCTTTCAAAACTCCCGGCATGACAACCATGCCCACGTGACCCACGCCCCCTGACACGTTGCCATAGCAACCATACCCATGAACCAATAGATATGGCTCCTACAACACCAGCCCCTTAATTATGCAATAATTACCACATAACACAATTAGGAGACAAACATGAAATCGATCAATCAACAACATGCAATCTTCATGGGCACGAATCACAGTCCAAACCCACATTAAAAGGTATAGTCTGAAAGTCAGTCAAACTCAAAAAATAGAAAACCCGTAATCCATGGCTTTAGAAGGAAATCCAAAACCCAAAAGTGCCCCCACCAAAAAGATGAATTGGCCAAAGTTGTCAAGCGAGCTG